CTACCTTTATTCATGAAATTTGTTCCAATGTGTTTTTCTTTCTCTGCAGTGGTCTCAACAACTGCTGCCTCATCGCCACAACGCAGCTCCGATTCACTGCTCCATCTTTGCGTCAGACGAGGCTGTTGGCTCTTCTGCAGGAGCCTCTGACGCTCTGCGAGGCCACACGTTGATGTGACATGGAGCTCTACTGCATACGTGGACACTGGAGGAGCACGACAGGTCGTGATGGAGCGTTGGGAAGCCCTAACAGATCGGAAGCCTGCAAAGCACGGTAAAATGTGGGCCTCTAAAATGGGTGTTGGATAGGTGCAGTGTCACGCCGCTACAAAGTAGGAAAATGTCGGTCTTCAACAGTATGTTTGGTTCCCAGGCCCTGCTGCGTCGTCTCCCCAAAGAATCCGAATACAACATGATTGAGCGGCATCTATTACAATAAGTCCATTTGGTACAGATGCTCCTATCGTTCTGGAGCTATTATACGCGTTGGCGTACCAAATGGATAAAGAAAGGGAATATCGTGACCTACTTTGATGTCCGATTGTAATTTTATCTTTGTTTTTGATTATCGTTGTGATTTTACTCCTGCTTTGTAACTACTAAGGCTCGGTTTACCCTTACTTTTAACTCTATTAGTTGTATCTAGAATAAAAAAATTAAAAAACAACAAAACCCTTTATTGTAAGATCAAACGACAACAATACTTCTTGTCCACTCGTACCCTCCCCGATCCCCCGTCCTCTACCGTATCATCTCTATCTCTCATTCTCCTCACATGGGGTGCGGCTGGACGGCTCCTTGCGCCGGGCGACGAGGGCACGGGCGTGGCCCCGAGCGGCCAGGCCCGTTAGTCAGGCGGGCAGGTGCCCGGTCGTCGAGCGGCCAGGGCCCAGCGGTTAAGCGTGGGGTGCAGCTGGGCGGCGACGAGGGACGGGCGCGTCCCCCCTCCGCCTCCTGTTGTCCCCACCACAGTCCCCCTCTTTCGCCGGCACCGACGATGAACGGAGGCGGCGGCGGTACTCCTTGGAGCAGCTCCTCTTCAACGTCCCCGCCAATGCCGGTGCCGCCGGCCGGTGGGCGCAGCAGGTACGGATGGCTTAGTGCTTCATCGAGATCTGCGCGGGGTCCAAGTTTTCCGTTTTCTTCTGGGAAGAGCTCATCGGTGGGTCGCTTTGTGGTGTGCAGCGCGGCATGGAGGGCACGCCACGGCTGGGGACTCGCCGGGACAGAGGCAGCAGCTCAGTCCCGTGTTGCTCGATCTCCATGCCTTCGACACGGAGCTAATCCCCGATGTGAGGCCAATCATATGCACTCTTTATTATTATTATTATTATTATTATTATTATTATTATTATTATTATTATTATTATTATTATTATTATTTTTTCCATCAGTTGCTACTTCTGTTTCGGTGACCTCGCTTGTTTGTTTGGGACTGTAGAGAATGAGAATGTGGCCAACGACCGTAGTATTGCATCTCATTGAGTATATATACAAGTTACAACCGGGAGTGCGTGGTGCGCACGATCGTGGGCGATGTCAGTCACCACAACGAGAAGCTAAGCTAACTGCAAGACGAGTACAGACTGAATACAAGCCTGACAGACTGAATAACTGAATGTCTCAACACCCCCCGCAGTCGGTGCAGTCTTCACACGTTCATCGGGACGACGCACAGACTGGAGCGAAATGCTTCGAAGGTCGTTGTCCATAATCCCTTTGTCATCACATCGGCGTACTGCTCACCTATTGGAACATGCAGAACACGCAGATCGCCCATCTGAACGCGTTCGCGGACAAAGTGTATGTCCAACTCGATGTGCTTGGTCCTCTTGTGGTGAATGGGGTTTGCCGACATGTACACCGTAGAAACATTGTCACAGTAGGTGACCGTCGCCTTGGTCACACCACAATGGAGCTCGCCGAGGAGTTGCCGGAGCCAAATGCATTCCGCCGCGGCGTTCGCGACAGCACGGTATTCCACCTCAGCGCTCGAACGAGAGACTGTAGGTTGCCGTTTCGAAGACCATGACACAAGAGCGTCGCTGAGGTAGACACAAAATCCCGAAGTCGAGCGCCGAGTGTCCGGGCATCCCGCCCAGTCAGCGTCCGAGTACGCCGTGACGTTGAGGTCCGCCGAGCCTCGCAGGTATAATCCCATCGTCACCGTGCCGCGGACGTAGCGGAGGATGTGTTTCAGCAGCGCGAGGTGAGGTGCACGGGGATCATGCATGTGCAGATACGCTTGCTGCACGGCGAAGGCAAGGTCAGGGCGCGTAACAGTCAAGTACTGCAACGCCCCAGCCAGACTCCTGTACGTCTTGGCATCGTCGATCACTGGTCCATCGGCAGAGAGTTTGCCCTTAGTGTCGATTGGTGTTGTAGCCGACTTGCAGTTTGTCATCCCAGCGCGCTCGAGAATGTCCTCGGCGTAGCACTGCTGGGACAACACAGAAGTCGTCGGCTGTACGCTTGACGTCGATGCCGAGGAAGAAGCGCAGATCACCAAGATCCTCGACAGCGAACTCCAGTTTCAGGCGCTGGATGATGTCTTGGAGGAGCGCCGGACTGGAACCTATGAGCACGATGTCGTCGACATATAGCAAGAGGTATGCGATGTCGTGGTCCCGGCGCAGAACGAAGAGTGAGGCGTCGGATCGTGTCGGCTTGAAGCCAAGCTTGATGGCATGATCAGCAAACTGAGTGAACCATGCGCGAGGGGCCTGACGAAGCCCGTACAGAGACTTGTCGAGGAGACAGACGGCGTTCGGGTGCTCAGGATCGACAAAACCTATGGGTTGTTGACAGAGAACGTGTTCCTGCAGGTTGCCGTGAAGGAACGCGTTGGACACATCGAGCTGTCGTGTGGACCAGCGACGAGAGGCGGCAATGGTGAGCACTATGCGGATTGTGGCAGGCTTGACGACCGGCGTGAAGGTTTCACCGAAGTCAATGCCCGCGCGCTGCGTGAACCCACGGACCATCCACCGGGCTTTATAGCGCTCGAGGGATCCATCCGGATTGAGCTTGTGGCGAAATACCCATTTGCCAGAGATGATATGGGCACCAGGTGGACGCGCAACCAAACGCCATTTGCGGTTTGCCTGAAGAGCGCGGTACTCCTGTTCCTTGGGGCCGTGCCAGTTAGGATCTCGAAGCGCGGCGCGTGCCGAGGTTGGCAGAGGGGATATGGAGGCGCTAGTGGAAGTGGAGACGTGGTGGTGGCGAGCACATAGCGTGGGTTGGGTTTGACGATGCCAGCCTGAGCGCGAGTGATCATCGAATGTGCAGGCGCAGGTGGCGGCTTAGCAGCAGCCGGGGATGAAGAAGACGCTGACGGCGTGGGATGGGCTGAAGAGGGTGCCGCGAGCGGGGGAGACTCTGGCGTGGGAACCATATGTGTGGAGGCTGGGGCAGGCGTATCAGGATGGGCAGGAACCTGAACGCGCGACGGTGCCAGTTCCTGAATAACTACGGTGTCTGTTGTCGGACAGACAATAGTTCCGTCAGAAACGCCATTGCACGGAGCCGAGCGGAAAGGGAAGGAATTCTCGTCGAATGTAACATGACGGGAAGTGATCACTCTTCGTGTATCGAGATCGAAGCAACGATAACCGCGGTGGTCAGTGGGATACCCCAGCAGCATGCAAGCAGTGGAACGGGGAGCAAGCTTATGAGGCATGGTGGCTGCCTGATTAGGAAAGCAAAGACAGCCGAAGACTCTGAGGTGGTCATAGCTAGGTGGGGCGCCGAGCAAACGCTGGAATGGCGTGGAGGGACCAGTAGCTTGGCACGGACGCCGATTAAGAAGATGCGTTGCTGTGGATAAGGCTTCAACCCAGAAAGAGGGAGGCATGCCGGCATGCAGGAGCAGACTGCGAACGCAGTCGTTCAGAGTGCGGATGATGCGCTCTGCAGTGCCATTCTAGGATGAAGTGTAGGGATAGGACAAACGAAACACTATGCCGTGAGTAGCAAAGTGAGCACATAATGCTTGATTATCGAATTCTTTTCCGTTGTCAGTTTGGAAGGAGAGAATGGGAAGCTGAAATTGAGTAGATACATATGCGTGGAAAGACAATATGCAGGCAAATACATCAGCTTTGCTACGTAGGGGAAAAGTCCAGACATAATGAGTAAGATCATCAATCAAGACAAGATAATATTTAAAACCAGAACAACTAGGAACCGGTGACGTCCAAACATCAGCATGTATAATTTGAAAGGGAACATAACTGACAGATGCAGAAGAAGAAAATGGTAGTCTGACATGTTTACCAAACTGACAAGATGAACACACATGTGAAGAAGACTTAGAACAGCTAAAGGTGACATGATGCAGAGTTTGACGAAGAGCATGACAGCCCCGGGTGACCCAGCCGCAAGTGCCAGAGATCAGCAGTAGCAGTGGTGGCAATGAGTGCTTCCGGCGATGACGGTGCCAGGGGGTACAGGTCGCCGCCGCTGTTACATCGGAGCATCACCGTGCGAGTTGGGAGGTCCTTGATAGAGAAACCATAGGGGTCAAACTCAACGGAAACATTGTTGTCACGAGTGAGGGATCGAACGGAAATAAGTTTTTTAACTAAAGAAGGAGAAACAAGGATGTTGTTGAGTTGAAGAGGAGAGTGTGCTGTGGCAATGGCAGTAGAGGTGCGATGAGTGACTGGTAGGGTGGCGCCATTGCCAACAGTGATAGAAGGAGATTTAGAAGGGTGGAGAGGAGAAGAAAGATTACCAGCGTTGGAGCTCATGTGCGACGTCGCGCCGGTGTCGAGGAACCATTCCGAGGCTTGTGGTCCAGTGTTCGGCACACCGGATGTCGCGAGGGCGGTGAGGAGGGCCTGATGGTTCCACAAGTCCGGCAAAGGTGGAGGTGCGACGCCAGGGGGTGCGTACATCGGCGGTGGGGGCACGGTGCCAGCGAGGTAAGCCTGCTGTGGCTGGGTGCCGGGGCGTGGACCCAGAACGCCAGAGCCCGGGACGCGGAACGGCATGGGCTAGGCCTGCACCATGCCGGTCCAGGGGTTCAGCCCAGGAACCCACGCTGGAGCCTGAGGACGAGCAGTAGAGGTGGTGCCGGAACCGCTTCCTTGACCACGCCCACGACCTTTCTTCTTGGGCGCACGATCAGAACGTGGAGCTGAGGCGGTTGCGGGCACTGACGGCTTGGAGGCCGAGCTGGAACCGCTATCGCCGAAGACAGCAGAGGTGGAACGTGTGCCGACAGTGGCGAGCAGAGCTTGGTGATGCGCCGACTTCGCCTGCTCCTTGTCATACTGCTCCTCCAGCAGCAGATAGGAGCGGGCCGACAAGAACGTGTGTGGCGGGTTCTTCGCGGTGATCACGGGGACGGTGTGCCGGTACTTGGAGCTGAGGCCGCGAAGCATGTTGAGGACCTGCGAGGTTTCGCAGACCGGCTGGCCCACGTCACGCAGTGCGTCGGACAACTGCTTGAGTTTGCCGGTGTAGGTCGTGATGTCCATGTCGCCCTGGACAAGTTTTCGGAACACCGCCTCCAGGTAGACTGCCCTGTGTGGAGCTCGTTGTCCGTGAACTGAGCATGGACGGCGTTCCAAATGGAGTAGGCAGTAGCTTTGGGAACGCGAACAATGGCGCGGACATCTTTGGCCATGGAGTTGTAGAGCCAACTCAAGATGCACTGATCTTTCATGACCCAGTCCGGATCACGGCGGTTGTCGATGGTTGGCGGAGAGGAGAGGTGACTGCCGAGGCCGAACTTCCCGATGAAGGCGTCAAAGAAGCAGCGCCATTCGGTGTAGTTCGATTCGGCAAGGTTGAGCTCGACGGGGATGTGCGTCTTGATGTTGACCGTCTGCAAGACAGCCGCTGTCGGCGTGGGGAGGACAGGAGCGTCGAAGGAGGCTTCGTAGGAAACAGAGGAGCCAGAGGAGGAGGAATCGGCGTCAGACTGGTTGAACTCGAAGAGAGGATTGACGTCCATGACGCCGGGAGGATGAGAAGCGGAGAGAGCAGCAGTGGAGGATGGCGTCGCCGGAGGCGAGCGACGGTTGCGGAAGGGAGGCGAGCAGGATCAAGCTGCGGCAAATGATACCATGTAGAGAATGAGAATGTGGCCAACGACCGTAGTATTACATCTCATTGAGTATATATACAAGTTACAGCCGGGAGTGCGTGGTGCGCACGATCGTGGGCGACGTCAGTCACCACAACGAGAAGCTAAGCTAACTGCAGGACGAGTACAGACCGAATACAAGCCTGACAGACTGAATAACTGAATGTCTCAATAGGGACAAATCTTATTGTTCATGAATGCTGTCGGCGTGCTGGATCTGATGTTGCTAAAGTGAACGGGGAGGGTCATGGGATTGGGAAAACATCGCTTTAATTTCGTTTCTGGATTGGTCATCGGCTTCGATAACACACATTTTTCTGGGTCTTCTAGGCGTGTGCTGATTTCTATGTACAGAAACTGGAATGCTAAACTTATATTTTGTTGGTGGAATCATGGTCGGTTGTTGAGATGGGACACCACATCAGTATATGTTGATTTATCAGTCTGTTTGAATTGTTGAACTTAATCTGGTCCTTTAGTTCAGAAGATGCATCTACTTTTATTCAGTGATGATCCTTCATTCCTTCTTTAATCCTAACCTTTTCCCCGGAAAATATGGTGCTGTAGAAAAAGATGCCTTATCAGTTCCCCATTGACAGTTCTTAACAACTTAATCCAAAATTCGTATTTCATGTGTACAGTTTCAAGTACCAGGGATGTATGATGGTGCCCAAGAGTTTGGCTATGGAGGAGGTCTAGATGAATCTGATATGAGATTCACAGCAAACAAGCTGATGAGCAAGTCTACTGTTTTTCCTGATGGTAACTACCTGAAGGCCTTCGCTGAGAAAGAAAAGCAGCACCTGTCGCGAAAATCAAAGTGGTGGTTGGTTCTTTCGTTTTGTCACACACTTGCTGATAAATAGTTCTTGCTGCCTTAGCTGTTATGATCCGGTGCTCACCAAAGAGGAGAAGAGCGCGGTGGCGAAGCTGCTGCGTGCGCGCGGCGCCGCGCCGATTGATGTCCTGCTCCTGACTTACCTCAGCGAGGGCGATTCGGCCGCTGCAACGATGACCGCTCGTGCGCCAAAACCACCTACACCATCGCCTTTAGATCGTACTACTGGTGGCAAAGGTAAAATGTCGTACACCATCCTTGAGCTTTGAGCTTGACTATCGGTGGAGCAAATGACTCACTGCTGTGTCACTGTGAGCTAGGAATGGATCCATCAACCTATGCCATGATGCAGAACATGCGGGCAGAGAAGGCGGACGCCGAGGCGGCGGCAGCAGCGACGGTCGCTGCGAAGAGTGAGCCCGGCTGCAGCGCCCCGCCGGGCTGGACACCGTCGTTCGGGAAGAAGAGGGCGGCGGAGGACAACACAAAGGAGGCCACTGGTCACGGGTCGGCTTCTGTCGCGCCCGGCTTCTGTACGCGCCAAAAACGAAAGCTGCAGCACGCACCGGACAGACATGACGGCGACACGATCGAGTGGGAGGCGGCGCAGCAGCTTCTGCAGGGCGTCGTCACGCCGGCGCGGGAGCGCGCGTTCTTGGTGGCGGATCCCTTCTCCGTCATCGCGACAAGCTACGCCGCGACGCTCCAGGTCCGATCCTGAATCCTGATAGCATATATGGCGGCGCATCGCGGCATGCGTGCATGTACTAATGTCGCTCGTGGCGTCAGCGCACAATGCAGGCGGCGAACTACGCGACGTTCTCGTTGGGGCACGCGCTGAAGCTCCAGGAGGAGCTGGAGAAAGCCAAGGCCGAGCTCGCTGAGGCGAAGAAGGCGACTGCGGCCGAGGACTAAAGGTTTGTAACATCACATCAATCACTTTTCTGTCTTTGAATGCTTGTTCCTCAAAAATGATGGGTGACTCTTTGTATCAGGGTTAATTCAATTCATTCTTTGTCCATCACGAGGCTGGACTGCTGGACTGGCATCTTCTATTGACAACGGATTCTCATAAATTAGCATTTCAGGCTCCACAACTTGTTACTGACAGGAAGCACCCAAATTTGTTGTAGGGCCTTGTTTAGATCGTAAATTTTTGTAACCTGGACACTGTAGTACGTTTCGTTTGTATTTGACAAATTTTATCCGATCATGGACTAACTAGGCTCAAAAGATCCATCTCGTGATTTACAACCAAACTGTGTAATTAGTTATTTTTTTACCTATATTTAATGCTCCATGCATACGTCCAAAAATTGATGTGATGGAGAAAGAGTGAAAAAACTTGGAATTTGGAGGTGATCTAAACAAGGCCTAGATGTCCGGGAACATTACTTAGCCCTCGTTTAGATTGCAAATTTTTGCAATCTGGACACTGTAGCATGTTTCGTTTGTATTTGACAAACTTTGTCCGATCATGGACTAACTAGGCTTAAAAGATTCGTCTCGTGATTTACAACTAAACTGTGTAATTAGTTATTTTTTTATCTACATTTAATACTCCATGTATATGTCTAAAAATTAATATAACGGAGAGAAAGTGAAAAAATTTAAAATTTTGAGGCAATCTAAACATGGTCTTACAACGGCCACCATTTGAACGAATTCGTGCCTCAGCGAACATCTGCTTATGTCAGTCAGCAAGACTGGCATGCTTCAGAGATGACAGTCAGGGAAACTGTGGAGTTTGCCGGGCGCTGTCAGGGTTTGGAATAAAGTATGGTAGGTCACTGCATCATGAATTAGTCAAGTTTTGAAATAAAGTACGAGATGTATGACACTGAATATGTAATATCTCACTATTAGCTATTATTTTTATTGGACTTGTATGTTGAATAAGACTTGGTGCTGTATGGATACTTTTGCTACACTTTCACTTGATGTGATATTATATATCTATATTTGCATGCTGTGTGGAATCATATGTAACAAGTTGTGCAATGATGCTGCCAATTTTTTTTTTAAAAAAAAAACAGGGGGTAAAATCACAATGTATTCAGATAAGTATGAGCAATTTCGCATGGGCAAACTTATTCTTACTGAGCCCATTTGACACCATTACTTGCTGTTCACGGAGTAGAGGTAAACTTAAGCTTCGTTTTAAAAAAACAGGGGTAAAATCACAACGATGACAAAAGCAGGGGTAAAATCACAACTGGACGTCAAAGTAGGGGCAAGAACGCAATAGCCCCATAAAGAAACTGCTGCTCCTCCCGTGAATCTCTGGAAAATCCGGTCACACAAGCGCCCGGTGACTAGTGAACCTGAAACAACTAGCTTCGCCCAGCTCCTCCATATGAACGCACGAGCCGTGCGAGCAAGGCGCGACAGATATAGACGCCGGTCGCCGAAAAAATGGGCCGGAGCGGGAGTAGTCGGCCATCGTGGACTCGCGTCTAGGTGGAGTAGCATGCGGTTGAGAGGGTAGCCGGACCGGAGCGGGAGTAGCCGGCCAGGGCGAAGTCGCGTGCAGTCGAGGGGGAATGGGGGTGCACGGCTGCCATGGCATTGTGGTCATCGGGTCTTTAGGACGGGGGCGTGCAGGGAGGGCCGCCGACGCAACCGCGTGGAGGGGCCCGGGCGCCGAACCTTGAGCCAGAGAAAGGTGCATCCATATAGAGCCACTTCCGAGCAGATAACGGGACAAGAGATAAGAACAAGAAGGATGAGAAAGAAAAAAGAGGGAAAGTGGTGTATTTTTGACATTTCACATTTTTATCTACCACGAGAGAGCTGTTTTACCCAATGTTTCACCAAAACAGCTTTCTCCCCACCGAGCAAACTGTTGTAGAAGTTATCAAAAAGTTGCTTCGCCAATGAACAGAGCCACGTGTCCAATGGCCGCAGTCACACACTTCACACCATATCAGAGATATGACCATGTTCGCTTATCTTATGAGTCGTACTGTTTCAGCGATGGAACAGTTTTCCCTATCACACCAAATCAGCAAATATTACTTTCAGCAATGGCTTTTCAGTGAAGCGAACAGGGCCATAGATTGCATAGCTGTATAGAAGCACACGGGTTCCTAATGTATTATTGAATTTTTAATTAGCCTTTTTCATCTGATTATTTCCTTGCCTAGCTGATTTAAAGGTTTTTTTCCTCTCGTGAACCTCTCCTCTGCATGTCAGCTTCTTAAGCTCCCTTTTCTTGAAAGAATTGCTCATAAATATCTCTAGTTAGCTCTTCTTAATCCCTCTTTTCTTACATAAATGTTCTATCGGTGTTTGATGACCGACAACTCATCACGGGATTACCCGATGGTTGGTGGGCTTCGGCGTATGCAGAACTCGACGGTGAACGCAGAAACAACAATTTATACTGGTTTGGTCCATTGGAATAGTGTCCTACGTCCAGTGTGGGGTGAATAGTATATTGCGCCCTACGCTTCGGGTTTAGACTATGAGGTCTGTTCCTATTGGGTTATGCCGATCTATGGAGCCTTGCCCTTCTTTATATATCCCAGGATGCAAGTCTCCAAGTCGGTTACAATGTAAGAGTCCTAGTAGGATTACAGGATAGCAAGTTACTAGGATTACATGTGGGGAATCATAGTCAGACTAGATCTTCTTCCTTGCGGGGTACCCGGGGATTATGTCCCACAAGCCCCCGAGCACTGTATGGTTGAACTTTGCAAGCCTTCTTGTTTCTCTAGGTCTTGCCGAGTAAAAACAAGCGTTGTCCAAGTGCTTTCTTGAGTGAAACCATATAGTGCTTCTTGAAATCTTCGAGTGGTGTGCACTTTTCGAAAAAAGTGCACTCATTGAGTGTAGCCCCCGAGCCTCTTGCTGTTTGGAACAAAGAGTTAGAGGGTCTTATCTGCAATACCTTTTCAAAGAAATTTGAATGCATCCTCTGAGGATATGTATCCCGCAGCCCTCGATCCTACAATCCGACTACTAGGTAGTCGATTATAGGATCTTGTAAACGTCCTCAAGGGTGCAGGCGAGTAAACCCCTGAAGGCA